AAAAAGAAAAAGAAAAAAGGAAGAAGCAAAGCAGTGCCATAGACGGGTGAAATGGAGTGGATATTGGTATCACTCTTTTGTAGCTTAGTTGCCATATGTACCAAGGGCCTTAATAATGTTTGCCCCCTTTGGCAGAGTAATTTCACTTCGGGTAACTCATTTCAGGGCTGGATGGTAAATAGTTCAGGATGGTAAATAGTTGCAGGTACCCCAGTCTACGCTGCAGCACAAAAGCAGCCGTGGACACAGGTGCATAAGTGGGAGTGGGTGTGTTCCAGGAAAACGTCATTAATACAGAAACAGGCGGCGGCTGGTGGGGCCATCCCCGGATGGAGATTAAGGAAATAGTTTTAGAATTCGTCTAAATTCGAAATTCTCACTACAAAGAGAGCTGTCGTCTAGAAGATTCTCATCTCGGCTTTATTGATATTAGCAAACTATTGACGCAACTTGAATGGTCATCAACAGGAGGTGTGATTAGCTTGATCGTTCCATTTAATGAAATATTATATAGGCATTAAAACGCTGTTGATGAATAATTGATACCAACAGGAAGCGATGCTTGATAGATTAGTGCATGAGACATCGGTTATTTATAACAGTAATTATGATAATGCTGGTGGCTAATACCTATGCACGTTACACACTTGTATCGCTTAACCCTCCAGACAACCCAATGAAATAGACTTTTGTATGGAAAAAGTATGCAGGAACTGATGCTAATAAATGTTAAGTCATCGAGCCAAAGCCACGCTGCTTGTAGGTGGCAGAGTCGGGATTTGAACACGGGTCCACTTCCCTCCTGAAAGCAAACCAGCACACTAATAAAAATCCCCAGTTAAACTCAGTGTATTGAGAAGACCAGAAGAAAAGGCACTCGAGGGCTGATACCGGCTTTCTTGAGTGATGGGACTAGATGCAAATGTTCTCCACCATGTTCAGTAGTTTCGCTAATGAGACTGCATCGATTTTAATAATGAAGAAACAACAGCTGCATTTTGTAAGGAAGCCAAGGATGGCTGAGTACTGGGTGTGCCTGTGGTGGTGGTGGGGTCTTGAGATTCTGTTGGGGCTGCTCTCACCCCCTCCGTCCTGCTCTTGTTTGTGAAAAGGATAAGGCCCTGTCCCTCCGTCTGTTGCAGGTGGAGTTCCTATTTCTAGTGTGTGTCTCGTTTGGACTGTTGGCTCTCTCTGATGCCACTCTCGGGTTTCACTTGCCAAGCCCTAACTGTCTTTCTCTCTCCTCTCTCCCTCTCTCTGCTCCCTCCTTCCCTTCTCCGTCCACCTGTCTCACTGTCCAGCCGACAAGGTAAATGACGACTTCTACACCAAACGCCGGCACCTGGCCGAGCTGGCCGCCAAGGGGAGCCTACCTCTGCACCCCGTAAGAGCGGAGGAGGAGCCGCGGGCCCTCAGCCCAGAGCACGGCCCCGCCAAGCAGAACGGACAGAAGTCTCGTACCAACAAGATGCCCCCACACCCCCTGGCCTACAATTCCACCATCAACTTCAAGGGCTGGGACCCCAACGAGCAGTCTCTTCGGCGGCAGGCTTACGGCAACAAAGGCAAGCTCGGCACGGCCGAGTCCGCCTCCAGCGACCCCTTGGGGACGCGCACCCAGCACTACCCGCCCCCACAGCCATACTTCATCACCAACAGCAAAACAGAAGTGACTGTCTGAGCTTTTGCTTCAGAGCGTCCTGGAGATCACACTCAACTGAGAGGCAAAAAAAAATCCTGGTCCGCCCTCTCCCTGGCCCACCCCGAACAACCACCCACACACTCACCCTCCATACCCACCAACCAGAAACCTGCTGGTGACCTGGAATCGCGCGTTTCCTGGGTCATGCCTAACCTGTGTCGGGGGTGCAGCTGAGCAGTATCGAGGCATGGACGTCCAGCAATACAGCAAAGGGAAACTGAGGCACGCTCTTTCGACTTCAGGCCCAAGGTGGCCAGCTCACATGCCCAAACCACAGGGCTAATTTTTCTTTTCCTCCGAACTTGAAACTAAACAAATCCATGATGAAAAATAACAGTAGCACAATTTAGAGAAATTGTCCACTTGAGCACATATACCACTTGCCATGTGCTGTCTGTTTCTGGGTGAGTGAGCCCGGGTGGGAGGGGGCAGAGAATGAGGGGGCACTGCCGAGGAGTGCGCTTGAGAAGAGGCGTCATTTTGCAGAGGGAAACCTGTGCACATGATAAGCCTTTTCTAAGCCTGAGAAGTGGTAACACGGGATACACAGTTTTGATGAGTGTGTGACAGTAACTGGACCCCAACCATTCTACTTACAGTCCTTTTCATATCAGCAATGTTGGAAGCAAAAAAAACAACACACACTCAAACTCAGAACAAATAAATGACCCTGAACCCACCGACAGTGATCAGGAAGAAAGAACGCTTTAAAACACCCCTAAGGATTGTGAACATGGAAATGGGGGTGGGGGAGATAGGCTTTTCTGGCGGGGAGAGGGTCCTGAGAGTATTAACTTTTTTTAAAGAAAATAAAAATATAAGCCCACTACAAAAGAGATGAAAACAGCAAATTGACTGTTGTCCAAAAAATGTTCAAGGCTTAGGAATATCAACAATGACATTTAAAAAACAATAAAAAAATCACTGATGAAAGGTCTACAAGAGGTGAGAGGGGGACCCGTCCCCCTTGCCTCTGAGACAAGACACCGACACGGAAACCAGCCCTCTATTAACTGTCGGTCCCTGACTCCCTTCTTTCCAGCCCGTTGCCGCCGCCGCTGCCAAACTTCAACTGCTTTGGACTGAAAAATGTCATAAGCGTGGGTGGTGCCTTCGATGTGTTACTGTTTAAGGACAGTCTTGTATCCCAAGTGCAACCTGTGTTCTCTTCGCCCCGCTCTGTCCTGTTTTTCTGCAGTATTAGATGTTTCCATCCTCCCACTGTTGGTGAGCCCACCCCATCACACCCTCTGAGGGGGCTGCTGCAGTGTCGGGGGGGACCCAAAGACCGAGCCCTTCCTAGCCCCCACCCTGTCAAAAACCCACGAGCTCTGCCATTTTCTAGCTCCCCAAACCTGTCAGACGTTTCTGCGTCCTCCAAACCACCTCTTCAGCATGCTCATCTCCCATCCAGAACTTTCTGAGGATGTTTTCAGGTTGGTTCTCAGAGCCAGCAGCCCTTGGGTGTCCCGGCAAAGGCAATTTTCACACTAGTTCTCTTTGTGTAGTGGAAGCCCAAAGAAGGTTGTCGAGAAAGCCGAGATTTTCATTTAAGGTGAGATGTTTTCAGCCAATCCCTAAAGGTCTTAGCTAAGTAACAGGAACCTTTGAGAGACCCCTTAGCTGTTTCGGTTTCAGAAGCTGCCCATGGTCTGGTCCATCCAGACGCAGAGCATTTCCTGGGAGGCTGAACTCCAGCGTCCGTCTCACCATCTCTCTACTCTGACATCATGGAGTTCCTTCTCCTTTTCACTCCCAATTGATCTGGGGGCACTGACCATACACTTTCTCTCTCTGGGTTTTAGTCTCCCATCGGAACATGAGGAATTGGGGCTAGATCAAGGCTTTTCACGCTTTTTGAAATAGCAGAACCTCTGCCCATTTTAAAATAACGAAATTGTGCCCAGAAGCCCCTATAGAAGACCCCCTTTTATAACGAGGCTCTGTGCTGGACGAAGCAGGGGTGGGAGGTTCAGTGTCCACATTCTCAGTCTCCCCCCTGAGACCCCAGTGCTCCCCAGAATGGAGTAAACACTGCTGGCCTTGGAACTGATTCATTTTTAAACACGTTTAACTTTTAAAAGGAAAACTTGCTGCAGTCATCACAAATAGAAAACCAGTATCAGTCACCCTAAGTAGAAAGTAAGTATAAAAATAAGTACAAAGAAGTAACTGTTAAGTTCTAGCTAGATACTGTTGTCTGTGGAAAGCTCTGAACCTACAACCTGTCTTTTGTGTTCCCTCCCTCCCTCCCTTTTCTCTATCAAAAAGAGATCAGCAGATGTTAGAGATGTCAAAGATATACCAGCATCTAATGGAGACTTTCTCCTTGAAGTAACCAGATGGACCGACAAATGCAAAGGGAGCCATGTTGTGTGTGACTCAGTGTTAACTAGTGCTATATTCACGTACTTCTCATAGTCATTTTGCGTACGCTAGTGGCACACAGCCCACATACTTCAGGACATACGGGGCTGGCTCACCTCTGAGGTTCCCTCCAGCTCAAAACGTCTGTGATCCTGGTCTCCCTTTTGGTTCCTGTTTGCTCCTTGCCCTCCTCCCATCTTGATCCCAACCCTGATCAAGGAGCTTTCTTGGTCTCTGAATCTGCAGGATTTTATTTGTTTTCCACGTTCCCTTCTCTCCTGAGATAATGTCATCCAGTGAGTTTTGTGAGTGAGGGACTCTGCAGCTATAATTTTGGCAGGAAAGTTGTGGCGTGGTCAAAAGGATGTAGCAGTGATGGCAGCCCCAGAAGAACGGTACTTCTCAGCCTCATTATCTTCTGGTTGGCTTTGGGAGCCCAGCCGAGGGGAGAAGTATGGCCAGGGAAGTTTATTCTTTGGCTCCCTCTTGGGAGGGCGGACAGACCTCGTGATGCTGGAAGACTATCGTGAGGGATGACGTAGGGAACTGTGACTGCCATGTATCAACAAGGATGCAGTAGCCAGAGTGGAGGGACATAGAAGAGAGAAACCAGAGCAAAGCCGAGAGACTGACTCTCCCCTCCCCTCCATGCCCTGTCACTAGTCTTGACTAGCCTTTAGCTATCCCCGACTTCTAACCCAGTGGGTCCTGTCTGACTGCCCTTTGCCCTCCCAGAGCGTCTCAGCCTCCATCTGCCTTGGGCTCTGCCTGGCCTCCCCCATCTAACTCCCCCAGTTTTTGTGCAAATGGAGCATATTTTATGTGCGAATATTTTAGTAACCGTATGTTCTGCAAGTAAACCTGTGTTAATACTTGTCAACAACTGCAGAGTTTATGAAACCAATAACACTTCCTACAACGAAGAAAAAAAAACATTTGTTTGTTTTCTAAGAATGTTTATTTGTAAACATATGTATTCACTATATTAATATGAATTTCTTACCTGGCAATAAAACTGATTATATGTGATGCTTTGGGGTTGCCATGTACCTTTTCAGGGTCCCATATCCTCATCTGAGTTTTCACCAGGGACCACCGATATCAGCATAGAGAGCTAAATTTTTAACACTCAGAATATATGGGAAATCTTTACAGTAAAGCAACGTTTTAGTGAATAGCAACTTACACAAATTTTCCTGATTTTGTTTGAAGACTCTTTCGTGAGAGTCTATATCATGTCTCTTAGTTTACCTCCTGCCTTAAAAATATATACCATTGCTAGATCTCATCAGTACTAAACTTATCCTTAATGGTCCAGAATCTTGCTAAGATTTGCACTTTTTCCCCCCTATCAGTGACCAGGGTTGTACAGGACACACGTATTGAAAGGATGAGAGATTGGATTCTTCCCCTACTTATTAAATTTTATTTCCTGCCTGGCTTCTGTTAGCATTACATTTGAAATTTTTCAGGTAGAAACCTGCCTTAATATGATTCCCTCGAAAGGGGCTCTGAGACAAGGATTTGAACGCAAGTAGTTTATTTGAGGAGTGAAGGGAAGGCTGGAAAGGGGGTGGGAGGTGAGACAGAGAAAGGAAAGCAGTTGGTAAAGGATTCCGTATCATGCCAGCTACCCCTAGGAGTGATGTGAGTTTGGGAGAGGGTGCAGAACGGACACAGAATTGTCCAACCCAAGTGGACATGGAGCTGGAGTGTCTACACACCAGATCCCATCAGACATCATTTGAGCATTGCTTTCAGGGAGTGCCAATATCAGACAGTCCCAGGCTGTCACGTGCTAGGGCAGAGCAATTTCCATGACGTGGGAGAAAGCCTCAGGCATAGAGATGCACCTACTGGTAACCGGAAGTCCGCCATTGTGTACCGAAGTCCTTGAGGAGCTCACGGGCTGCTCAAAGCCAGAGGTCTGAGGTCTCCTGGGAGTGAAGCTTCCACTCGCTCATTGTCAAGCGAAGGGGACAGTGGACCACACCCTGTAGCTCAGAGAGATGAAAGGACTCATTCAGGACCATATGTCTAGTGGGCGGCAGGACTGGGATTCAAACCCAGATCTGTATGATTCTAAAGCCAAGCCCATCACAACGACCCATTTCGTTCTTGTTCGATCAGTTCCTGTGCTTCCTTCCTTTGGGGTTAATAGCTGGGAACTGTAAATGTGAATGAAAATTGTTCCAAGGAGATGCAGTAAAGTCCATAGGGAAAGGCATACAGCTGTGCATCAGGTGATATCCACTAATCAGTATTTCCTCTGACCAGCTGTCACTGACCTGGGGTCACCGAACCGGCCGGATGCTGCCTCAGTTGATGTTTCTGTCCTTCAAGTCTGCTCTCCAACAAAACAGACATGGTCTTCAGAATGCTTTCGGGTCTGTGAGGTGAAAAGAAAGCAGGTCCAGAAGCGGCGTCTGGGGCAAGCAGACAAGACACTAGGAGTTTTGACTCAGTGTCCCTTAATTTTGTATAACCTTGGGATAGTCACTTCTCCTCTCCAGGAGGCAGTGTAATCTTTTGGATAAGAGTCGGACCTCCAGAGTCAGGGGACCCATGTCTGAATTCAAGTGGGCATAACGGTAGCACCTATCAAAGGGTGGTTATGAGAAGGATATAAAGCAATCTGCAGAAAGTTCCGAGAACAGTTCCCAGACAATATTATTTTCCAGATTTTAAAACCTCAGAAATCATCTGCGGGAGGGATGAGAAGAAATATCAAGCGTCTTGGCTTTGGGCAGGGCGTCTGTGAACTTGGTATGGTGCCTTTTCTTCCCAGTTCTTTGGCTGTTGGTGCTATTGCGAGCCTGTCAGAGGGATGATTTTACCGCGGACCCTATTAGGTATAATCGCGATGAGTTTTAAAGATGGGCAAGAAAATAAGTTCTTGCTCAAGGAATGTGGTTTGCTTGATAGAAGGGATTTTTCAGATCTAGAGGTCTCTAGGGGATAAAAATCGTAATGAAGGAAATCCGCGGTAATGAAATAGGTTGTGAATTCCTGGCTTCAGATGGTTTCTTAGGTGTCTATTGCTGCCTAACTATGTGACTGCTCCAAAACTTAGCAGCTTCAAGAACACACATTTATTATCAGGGGTCGGGAATCGGAGCGTGGCAGAGCTGGGTCTCTCAGGGGCCACAATCGAGGTGTCAGCTATGGCTGCAGTCTCATCGGAAACCTCAGGTGAGATGATCTGCACGCAGGCTCACTCCTGGGGCAGGTGGCAGGCCTCGCCCCCTCAAGGGCTGCTGGACGGAGGGCTTGGTTCCTACCTGGCTGCTGCTGAGGCCATGCCCAGTTCCTCGCCACGCGGACCGCTCCAGTATGCCAGCTTGCTCCATCTAAGACAGCAAGAGAGAGTGCCCACTAGCCAGACAGAAGTCACACCACCACATTCTATTGGTTAGAAGCAGGGTGCTCCCGGGGAAAGGATGACATAAGGCCGTGAAGACTCCAAGGCGGGGGTCACTTGGGGCCATCTTAGAGGCTGCCGGCCGTAGGTGATAGCTAAGGCCCCTCCAGTACAAAAGTCTGAACTGGCCTGTCTCTCGTGAGTAGTGACTATCTGAGCACTATTATGGCTCGCTGTCACTTTCTGAGAGATAACTAACTAGCCTGGGATCAAATCTTAGCACCACCACTTTCAGCTAAACAGACAATGGCCCAACAGAGACGCAGAGCAATGGCTGCCCAGACAAGAGCTATGCTTTCCAGCTCCGCCCCCCCTTGCATCTGGATGGGGGTCTGTGCTGAGTTTTGTACAAGATGCGTGGAAGTGATGGGGGCCACTCTCAGACCTGCTCCATGGAAACCTCCAGCATAAGCCTCCCAGCTCTCCCCCATCTGCCGGATAGAGGCCAAGGCCCAGTGTACCCTGGGGAGCCACACGACGCAGGTGGCACAGCCTTGGTCAGCCCGAGTCTTCGGACGATTTGTAACTTCCCTCGCCACCATTCCCACTGCTAATTGAATTGTGAGTGAGAAATACTCTGATGTTGTGTTAAGCCTGGGGAGTCCAGGATTTATCTGTTAGAATAGCTAGAATTTCTTTAATAAATCCCACAGAGGTCACATCTTGAACAGAAAAAACAATAGATGTCATCTGTTACCACCATCATCGTCATCTTAACTAAACTTCTGAACTTCAGCTCTGTGCTAAGAAATGTCCAGACCTGGCTTTTAATCCTCATACCAACTTTGAAAGGCTTAGGACTCCATTTAATAGAGAAGGAAGCTGAGACGTTAACGACAAGGTCGCGGAGCAGTGGTTGAAGCATCCCGTATGCCTGGTTTAGGCGGTTGGGTTCCATCCCCGCTAGCACCCCTCCCAGCCCCCTTGAAGGTGCTGGATCTAGTGATGGAGGTAAACCCTCTGCACGAGAAGGAAGTCTGCATCCTTAGCTTGGCATCTCACTGATTTTCTTGTCAGGTTCCAAATCCCAACTCATGCTGAGTTACTTGTATACCGTTCAAGGAAGGCATTTCCCATCGAGAAATGTCATGATTGCTAGAAATAATCCTGTCACATCGTCTTGAATTTTTCCTCTTTACTAGTTCAGAGGTTTCAGTTAGATTCAAATCTTTTAATGCCTCCTTTAAAAGCACTGTAAAAGGGACCTGAGTCCTGGGGCAGGGCAAACAGAATAGATGTCTAATTGGGGGAGGGGTGCGGGGGCAACACAGCCAATCTCCCTGCTGTTCTGCACGTTGTGTGGACGCCCAAGTGCCTGGGATAGGAGTCAGGAAATCCGTCGTGTTCGTTCTAGCGCCCTCTGGAAGTAGCTGCATGACTGGGGACACTGTGTTCCTCACTCCTGTGACACAGAGGCTGTGACCTACCAGGGCTGCTCTCTCTGGTCCTCTTGGTCATGAACTCTGCCTTCAGAAACTTCTGATTCCGCCCCTCAGTGGAGCCTCAGTCTTGCGATGGCTCCCACTAGACCCTCCTGTAGTAACAACCACCTTTTTTTTTTTTTAATTCCAGGATTCTGGGGTTGGTTAGCTTTGGGCTTGAGAAGCAGGCTCTGTTGGCTGGAGCCCACCTTCCCTCAGGTCCGGAAAGCCCCCTGGGGCTGGCTTTTCCTCCTCCTCTTCCTTAAGATCTCTTCCCAAAATAAGTCTCTTAAAGCTTCTCCTCCTCGGTCCCTGCGTCACATGGAAAACCTCATAGGCAGTGGTTCTCTGGAGCACTTCTGCCAACTACAACCTTCCTCCTGAACCTTTTGTCCAAACCCGCCGCTCACGTCATGCTCCATCCTGTAAGGTACTTAGGGGTCCCCCAGTTCTTGAGTTGAGGGGGAGACAGTCATCCACCTAATTATCCCTGGACAAGAGTACAGTAAAACCTGGGATTGCGACGAACTTGGTTTGCGAGTGCTCCGCACGACGAGCAAACATTTCTAATACATTTTAACACGGTAAATGAGCCATGTCTTGCAAGACGAGTAGTTTGTTTCTGGAACAAATTATGCTCGCAAACCAATGCATTACTGTATTATGAAACACCCCCCTCAGGTGAAGAGGTGAGCACAGGAGAGAGGTTTTATCTAATTTAACACTCACTCAGATTAAGAAGACAAAAATGAGATGCCATTGAAAGTTACTTTTCACTTCTTTTTTTTTTTTTAATCCTCCCACTTCCTGTTTTCTCTTGGGAGATTGAAAAGTGTCTTCTTGCATATTTCTCATTATCAGGACTTAATGGGAATTTTAATTAGGGCTACTGCACACTTTGGTGGTAGTTTGCAAAATGTAGCTTTGGTTTCTTGTTTGTCAGGCTGCCAGTCTTTTGCATCCTCGCCAAAGATGCCCTCTCTCTAATAATAATGTCAATAGCTATCATTTATTGAAAGTCTACTATGTGCCAGGCAATTTGCATACATTTGGCACTCCTCTTCACGAAAATCATAGGCGGTGGGAACTATTAACCCTAATTTTAGATGAGGAAAGTCAAGCTGAGGCTGACGAAGTCACTGGCCTGAAGCCAGGCAGGTAGGAATTGGCAGACCTGGGATTCAAAC